AGCCCTGGTCAAATCCAGTAAGTTGTGACTAGTCATATGTACTAACGTTTATGGTGAGTTTGATTCGTCAAACATTTGATTCTTCTCCGGTGACCATTTATGGTGATATTTTAGTCTTGTTAATTTATTTTGTGATATATTCATTTTGTATTATTTATGTGATGATTGTATTTTATTATATTGGATTTGAATTTATGCGTCTGAACATGATATGAGTATTATGGGGAGATTTTGTAAGGGTATAATGTGAGTTAAGGAATATGAGTATGGTATGAGTCTCGTGGAGAGATTCAGTAATGTTATGGTATTTGTGTATATGTTGATGTTGAGGGTCCCATAGTTGGAGGTTATCCTGATACTCTAATAGTCATCCAGTCTCAAGTTGAGAAGGATGAATTATGTGGTGAGAGCGGTAGGAGGTCCTGGTCTATGTGCCGGTTTTGGACATAGTGTTAGGACTAAGAAGGCATCACAAGTGCGTAACCTTCCGTTGACCGCTCATCAACATATCATCGGAATGCGTGTCTATTGGACATTGTGGAATGAGTGTCTATTGAGTACTGTGGGACGAGTGTCCATTGAGTATTGTGGGACGAATGTCTATTAGTAATTGTGGTATGGTGGGATGAGTATCTATGATGCGATTGTGGTATGATGGTATAAGTATCTATGATGCGATCGTTGTATGATGGTATGAGTATCTATGATGCGATTGTGGTATGATGGTATAAGTATCTGTGATGCGATTGTTGTATGATGGTATGAGTATCTATGATGCGATTGTGGTATGATAGTATAAGTATCTATGATGTGATTGTTGTATGATGGTATGAGTATCTATGATGCGATTGTTGTATAATGAAATAAGTATCTATGATGCGATTGTTGTATGATGGTATGAGTATCTATGATGCGATTGTTGTATGATGGTAGGAGGGTGTTTGACATAATTATTATATGAGGTTTGTTGAGTACATCAAAGTAATTATGCATGTTTTATAAATGATTGGTTGCATGTTAGCTCACCCTACTTGTTTGTGTTTGTGTTTGGGTATGTGCGATGATCGTATAATTCGTTATACGGGAGCAGATGAAGGAATGTCGTCTGATTCAGTGCCAATGAAGAGAAAGATAGAAGAATAAAGTATAAGAACTCAAGTTATAATTATGATTTTGTAGTTGAAATATGAATTTAAAACATGTATAAACATATATCAACTATGAATTTTTAAGTGTGAGATTACGGGATGTTACCGTAAATGTAATGTTACAATATATAAATTTTGAATTATCAAGTGTGAGATATTGGGATGTTACACCTCTACCAATATTATTCAAATATAATATTTATTTATTTATTTATTGAATCTATTAATATTTTAAAATATGAAAATGTCGTTTATAAATATTTATTTTTTTTCAAATATTTATTTTGTAATATATATATATATATATATTATGTGGTTAAAAATTAGTTACATTTATATTAATCTAACTATGCATTATGCATTATAGTTAATAAGGGTAGCATTTAATGTTTGGCTTAATACCTCTTTTGGTCCCTCTTTAGGGGGGCAATGTTCAAGTCCGTCCTAACTTTTTTAAAAAGTTCAATGTGGTCCCAACTTGTGAAAAAAGTGTACAATTAAATCCTTTTTGGTCACGACGTTAAATATTTAACGATCCAGCTAACGTGTGATTTTCATTAAAGTTGACGTGGCTTAACCCGATAATATTCTCCAGTAAATGGACCAAAATCTATTACTTTCAAAAAGGATGTCTTTGAAGAAGTTAATTAACTTGAAGAATGGTTTAACTCAACCTCTTGATCTTCCTCTTCATTTTGTTCTTCGACTGATTCTTGATTTTGTGGAGGGGGCGGAGGAGGAGGAGGCTGATTTTGTTGATCTGGTGGGCTCTCAGTAACAACTGACCAGGGCAGAATGACCAATTCTACCTGTATCAGAGAATGTATGATAAACAATTTACTGGGTATAAGTGCATACATAAAGAGAGCATGAATATGGTCAAGTTAGGATATAACAATCAGTTTTCGTGAAACTTCTCTCTCACACACAAAGCATTAAAGCTAAATTCTAAAGCTAGGATAAAACACTAACCCTCAGCATCTCCTTCCAAAATAATGAAAAACTACTGAAATTATGTTAGAGAATATTGAATAACTTTCCTTAGTCCTTTTCATGGGGAATTGCAGATCATATTGTTAGATCACACCATTTTTTGAAATCAGACAATTTGGGAAACAATCAATCTGTTTTCAGACAATTTAGATTATCCCATGCTTAACCCCAAATCGCGATTTCTGCAACCCAAACCCTAGCTCATAATTTTTTAATCAAAACATATCGAAAACCTCAACTTCTTAAAATTATCAGATGTAAACCCTAACCTGATTTGCGGAATTCAATTTGCTATGCAGATTTCAGCTTCAAGATCACCCAATTTGGAAGATAGCTCCTCCAAAATGCTTAACCCCAAATCGCGATTTCTGCAACCCAAACCCTAACTCAGAATTTTTTAATCACTGCCACGTCAACTTTAATGAAAATCACATGTTTACCCCTTATGCAGCCACGTTATAAACCTAAACAGCCACGTTGCACAGATCACTCCACGCTGTCTGCTGGATTGTTAAATATTTAACGCCGTGACCAAAAAGGATTTAATTGTACACTTTTTTCACAAGTTGTAACCACATTGAACTTTTTAAAAAAGGTAGGACGGACTTGAACATTGCCCTCCTAAAGAGGGACCAAAAAAGGTATCAAGCCTTAATGTTTCTATACATTAAATTTATCAAATATAATGTAAACTTAACTAAAATAATATTATTAAATATGTGTGGCCAAATGTTTATGCGATATGTATTCTTTTACACTCAACATTTATTACTATGCAAATTTAATTTAGTAATATTGTTTTCTTTTAAGTTTGTTAAGAACTTAAATATATTTTCAGTACTTTAAATTGGACATTTATTTTTCACTTAATTAAAATCTATATTTTGCGGTCCTTTATTTCGTATATTGTTATTTGTTTAGTTATCTTGTACCGTGAATGATCAGCAAATGTCCATCAATTTTTGAAGAAGTTATGACCTTATCTCTTAGTTTGATTTTCCATTCTTCATTATTCGAACACTTATTTCTGTAATAAATACAATGGAGGAGTTGCACCAGTTACCGTGGTCGTATTTAATTATATAATAAAAATCTAACATCAATTAAATATCCAAATTAAAGTATAAAATAAATGAAAACTTTTCTTTATAAATTGATTTTTGTTAAACTAAATTTAAAATTTATTTTGCACAAAAATATTATGGATAAGTTTATTATAATTATTATATCACTTGTTAGAGCTGTCAAAATGGGTCATAATCTACGAATCAACCCGGCCCACCACGTGTTTGAGCCAGGTTGGGTTTGAAAAAATTGTATATTTTTTATGCGGGTCAGATTTCAACCCCGCTTTTGAACCCGTGGTCCCGCCTACCTAATTTTATTTTATTAAAATTTAATTTTAATTTTATAAAAATATTTATTATTTTGTTTTTACTTGAAAAAATTATTTAAGTTCCTTATTTTCAAAATTAATTAAACATCCATGTTGGGAGTCAAAATTTGGGAGTGAAATTTGTTTAGATTTGAATTATAGAAAATTTGTAATTTTTTTTTATTTAAAAGAAAGTTGTAATTAAGTGAGCCAGTGAGTCAACCCATTTATCCACCAACCTGTGGTGGATCGGGCCGGATTCAAATTTTTTGGCTCGCTAATAAATAAGTCGGGTTGGATTGACTCACTAAATGATCAACCTGTGGTGGACCGGGTCAAGTGGCCCGTTCTGAAAGCTCTACTTGCTATCAGATACCATTAAAATACTTATAAGTATTTTATCAACTAAAAATGAGTGAGGAAACTGAAAATTTTATATCAACTACAAATATGATTAAAGTTACAAGTGACTAAAAATTTGATTGATTTTGTTGTTAAATTAACTTCAAAGTCTACTTTTTTTAAGATGATATTAAAATATGTTGTAATAATATTTGTTTGGTGTATGAGATCATTTATTATCTATCAAGCCATTTATTAGACTCAAAATGTCCAATTCTCGTACTAAAAATTAAATAATAATGTATAAGTGAACACATATATCATCTTATAAATAATATTTTTAAAGATAAATTATATTTAAAGTTCTAACATTTTTATAAATAAAATATTTGTTGGTGTTACATTATCACACCTTTAATTCAGATTTTGGAGTTTTAGAATAATGTTAGAAAAGTTAGGTGGGGTGATGTTTTTTCCACAATGCCATGTAATCTAAAGGGGTAAAAATATTATATATATATATATATATATATATATATATATATATATAATTGGAGAACTAAAATTACTTGTGCCTCGTTTTTGAAGACTAATATATTTATGTTAATTTTAATAAAAATATTAACAAAATTTATAAAATAATTATCTCAATTTAAAGAAAAACAACCTTGTTTTATTTTAAAAATAGTGAGATTAAATTGAATAAAAAATATAAAGACTAAATTAAAATTTTGTTAGTATCATATTTCACAATTTCGAGTAACACGTAAAAACACAACAAAAGTAAAATTATCAAGAAAAAAAAAGTTAAAAAATTTAAAAAAATTACAAATTGACATATAATATTAAATTTAACACTAGTAATACAGTAGTTATAAAAAAAAATCAAAGGTTAAATATGTTTTTCGTCCTTTAAGTATCACATGATTTTGGGTTTAGTCCCTATTTAAAACTTTTATTTCTTTTAATCCTTAGTTTTGAAACTATTACAATTAGTCTTTAAAATTGAACGACATTAACTTTTGTTTGATGTGGCAAACGGCGAGTCCACGTGTGAGGTCAGCAATGTCAGCTTCTATGTTAGGTGTCTGCCACGTATATTTTCTTCTCTAAATTAGATTAGGGTTCTTCTATTCTGATTCATGATTTCACTGGAGGCGGTGGATTCATCGGCAGATCCAAAGCAAGACCCAAAATCGCAAGCCCAAAAAAACCCACGAAGGCCAAGCCTAATTCTGGTTTCTCTCCTTGAAAGCAGTCTCCGCTTCGATTGCTCCGCCTCTCCTCAAGCTCATCCCGTCTTCGCCAACACCGTCGAGGGCTTGCGCTACCCCTTCCACTTCTCCCTCTTCGATTTCGGAACCCTCCCCGACAAGCCTCACAAGAACATCGTAAGGATGCTCAAAGGGAAGCCCTTTCGCAAGCCCGACATCTCCGTCACCATTCAGGACCTGCTCGATAAGGCCAAGAGCAAGAGCAAGGATGGGTTGGTCGTCGATGTTGGTGCCAACGTGGGTATGGCCACCTTTGTCGCCTCTGCCATGGGGTTTCAGGTTTTGGCGTTTGAGCCCGTGTTAGAGAATTTGCAAAAGATCTGTGAAGGGATTTACTTCAACCGAGTTGTAGATTTGGTTACTATGTTTGAGGCTGCTGCGTCGGATCGTGTTGGTAACACTACCGTTTACGAGGTTATATTTCTTGCTTTATTTATTTTTTTAATTTAATTTTTATGTGCTATTTTTCGAGCTTGAATTGAATTTATGTTGTAGAAGCAGACTTGTTTTAGTTGGATACCAGTTCAGTTAGCTGAGAAAGAATCATTTGAAGTGCTTAGAGAGAAGAAACGTAGAGAAAATTGTTGTTGATGGAAATAGATAAATTAATAAAGAACTATTTCTATTAGTTGGAAGCAACACGCCCAGTGAAGTATTGGTAAACATCCCCAGAAACTATGGAAAATTTAGAAGGGAAAAGCGCAGTAAGCATGTTTGAGGAAAAGAAAAAGATGGAATTCCGATCATCTATAAAATCCGATGGAAGCACAAAAGTTGGAACATGGAAAGATGAATCTGATTTTTTTGATCTGGCGGGAATGGAAGAATTTGGTGCAAGGTACTGAAGCTCAAAAACATGATCAGAAGGAAAGAGAGACATCTAATGTGCAAGAAAAGCGTAACGAGGAAGATGACATTACATGTGGACTTGTCGTTTGCCACATCAAACAAAAGTTAACGTCGTTCAATTTTAAGAACTAATTGTAATAGTTTTAAAACTAAGATAACTAAAAGGAACAAAAGTTTCGAATAGAGACTAAACCCAAAATCGTATGATACTTAAGGACGAAAAACATATTTAACCCAAAAAATCAAATAAAATTACTTATAAAAAACTAAAAATTAAATTAAGACAGGGAAAACTAGAAAACCAATTTATACTTCTCGATAAAAATAACGATCAAATTAATAATTAAATGATAGTGATTTTTTAAATTACATAATAAATAAAAATATTTTAATAATTTAAAATAATACACGTTAAACAAGACCAGCCGTACATACTATAATTTAAAATATTATTATTTATAAATGCCTACTATCTAAAAATACTCAGGCAAATCAAAACATGTCTCTGATAAAAAGTGAAGACAATATATACTTATAAAGAAAATTTATTCATTTTTTACATATTTTCTTTCTAATTTTATTCGTTAAGCAATATTATTTTAAACGAAAATAATTACATTTCTACTTTTATTCTTTTAATAATAACTAATTTAAATTTAATTATTTTTAAATTAAATAGTTATTGTGAGAACTAAAAAAATAGAGGATCAAAGTTGATAGGTGCTTTAAAATAATGAAATTGAGTATTTTAATGTTAAAATAATTTAATAATATAAAAAAATTTCATAAATTCGTCTCATTATCTAAAACATCTACCATCTCTCTAAAACTCTTTCTTTGAGTTCCATTTCTTTTTTCTCTATAATTTCTGACTTCTAAATCATTTGTTTGACAAATAGGAAGCATATAGGAGATCATAACAGTGTATTCTCCATCATCATTCGATCAGTTTTTCTTGTAAAACAAGTAAATTTTTGCTCATTTTCCTTTAATTATTAGTTTAAGGCCATACATAGAAATTCTTTCGCATGTGTTATTTGAGTTTCTTTTCTAATTCCTTGTTGATCAGAGGTCCTAAAGACTTATTGACCTTGAAGCAAGGGCCATGTGTGTATAAAGCTTGGTAGCATCCTTGTTAAGGTAAGAGAAACCATTGTTTATGTTTAAATTTTGAATTTAGAATTATGATTGATTGTTGTTAGGATGGTTTAAATGTAATTGAGATAATTGTTTGTGTTAATTTTGTGTTTTGATGAGTGTAATTAGTTATGTGATACTTGATGCCTTGAATTATTCTATTTTGGATTGGATTTATTTTGCGAATGTTTTTGTTATGAAGTTTAGTGGTATAAAATTGATATAGTTTTGAGAAGAAAGGATTTTGGATGAGTTATTGGTCGTTTTTAGTTTAAAAAGAGGTTTTAATAGGTGAGATTTTGATTTAAGGGTCAAAAGAGAAAAGCAGAGTTATAGGATGTATTTGGTGATCAATTGAAACTTATTGGAACCTTAAGTTGGTAAAAATTTGTTATAAAAATGGTTGGTAGTCAATAGGTTGTGTTTTGGATGGTTTTAAGTTTATTTTAAGGGTTTTGACTAGTGAGATTTTAAAATAGAATGTCTGAGGCAAATTGGAATATATAGGGTTTGTTGTTGGGTCATTTTACACTTGTTTAGATCCCTAAGTTGCTAAGTTATGTGTTAAAATTGGTAGAATTGATTTATGGTCTATATAGTGGTGTTTTAGTTGGCTTGAGTTGGAATTTCATGATAAAATGAGTTAAACTCGGTTTGAGTTGGATCATATACACTTAGATAGGTCAATTGAGGCTTAGAATACCAAATAGAAGTGGTAAAAGTTGGTAGAAGTGCATAAGGTAGGACATGTAAGGTTTAGAGGATGCAAATTCTACATAATTGGTTTTTTGCAGAATTCTACAAAGTGGTTGGGCAAGTATTTAGGATGTTTTGGCAATGAGTTTCAAAGGCTAGGTGAGCTAGCTCTTTAGGCTAGAGAAACTCTCTATTTGAGCTCTCGCTGGGGAACGAGATCTGCTAGTTGGACGAGCTTGTGCTCGTTGGGTGCCATGATTTTGGTGTTGGGTGCCATGATTTTGGTGTTGGGTGAGTAGGTTTAGGCATTCTAGGTTTTTTTGTTTTCTTTTCTCTACTATGTTTGGATATAAATGGTATGATGTTTTATTGTATACTCAGTGATATGATTTGAACTACATGATGGTATGGAATTGTGATTTTAAGAGTTCTAAGGAAGAATTCTTAGTGGTGGTATCAAAGTGTTGTTGGTATGAATGTAGGAAGCTTAATCTTTGGGGTTATTCTAACACGCTAATGATCATTCATTCTCAATTATAGAGGAGTGATGCATATGCTTTGAATATTAGGAGGTCCTAGTCTAGGTGATCCATTATGGCCTAAGACGCGGAATAAACCAACCTTATGTGTGTGGTAAGGTGAAACTCATTGGCAATGACTCTACAAAGTAGTAGAGGCCACCACAAGTGCATTACCCGCCATAGTTCGACATTCATACTATTTCCGGATGGTCAAGTATAGGTCAAAGGCATGATTAGGACGTTTGATTAACTCTGTGTGAAATGTATATATGATGCAATCTTAATATACTATGTTGATTCTTTTTATCATTAACTTGCCCTTCTTGTGTGTTTCTTTGTTGGTTGTTATTGTGTGATTGATTCTATAGGGATGATCATATGGTGGATGTGAGCATAGTGAGATAATATGTTTTGGAGCCAACTTTAGGTGGAGATGACATACATAGAGACTTTAGTATATATTTGTATATATTTTTCTTTTGGTTGTTTTAAAGAACCAACTTGTAAGTAGTTTTGGTTTAGTAACTTGTATATAAAGTTTATTTATAATTATGTTTTATATAACTATGATGCGACTTTATATTTTTATGCTTGTTAACTATTCTATTTTATTAATTATGTGATAACTTTTATATAGTATTTATACTATTTAAAAGGGAAGGGATGTTACAATTCTTTTAAAATTGAAGTCATGCTAAATTCACATTGTTTAAATTTAGTTTTGATAGAATCACTGAGTTGACACAACTTCAATTAATATAACTTTAATTTAAAACCGCATTGAACTAAAGTAATGTAATATAACTTCAACTTAAAAATAGTACATGAATGACTTCTTTTACAATGAAATCAAAGTAACAAGATTTGTCTCTTTTCATAATTCAAAATTGTTATTTTAAAAATTTTAAAAAAATTATCATGATACAATTTAATTTTTAAAATTAAATGGATATAATTTATAAAAAAAAATTTAACTTTAAGACTATGCCTATTTACATTTTAAATTTGAATACTAAACTTTAACGAAATTTTCAACAAAGAAAACTCCAAAGTTTAGATATTAGAAAGAACATATTTAACGCATAAACAATATATACGCATACAAATAGCACATGTTTCCATGAAAGCAGTTACTCTAATATGTAATAATTTTTTATTTTAAAAGAAGACGTGGACCCCACTATTTAAAATTAAAAATACGAGCTTCTAGCGTTTTCCTTCTCCCAGATCAGTAACCCCCACTCTCTTCTTTCATCTCCCACGCTGTTTTTCCGGTAAGAAAATGGCGTTACAGAAATCATTCCGAGAAAAACAAACTCGGGAGTTAAAGAGTGAAGTAGTACATGATGACACTAACACGGTTGCATGCATGTAACGTTGAAACGACAAATGTGACTAATCCCGAAAGCCAAACAAGAACGCAGAATCCCCAAATCCCGACAAACCGAAGCACCATGCAACTCCTCAAAACCCCTCTCTCATTCATTTCTTCATTCACTCTTCTCTCCGCTCTCAATCATGTCCATTCACGCTCTCAATTTCCAAACTCACAACTTCATCCGCTCCATGTGGGACGATGTAAGCACTCTCTCTCTCTCTCTCTCTCTCTCACCATTCTCTCACCGTTTCGGTAACTAATCGTGTGTTGTTGTTCCGATTCTCGCAGGGACTCGTCAACGAGCAATTCGTTTACCTTGAAACTTCGAGGCTACATCCTCTTCGCCGCGACGCTCTCCTACGAGCGGTCACCGTCTACACTCTCTCCTCCAAAAGCCTATTTTCTGCTATCACTATCCAGCTGTAACTATAACCGCCTAATTCTCTGTTTACGTTTTTGTTTCTTTTCTCATTTTACGCGAATTTAGGTTTCTAATAATTCTTTGGCTTCGTTTCTCGGTGTAGCTGTGACTCATTTTTTCCTCTTGCGCAGTGAACAGCAGCAGGTTGATTTTGAAAGAGTTAGTGAACTTGTTCGGGATTTATATGCCAGATCGAGCAGGTAATGATATTGAATAAGTGAATTTACTGAATTTGGAGTTGGACTGTGTTTTTGATTATTTCACTGAAGTGGAGTGCTAACGGACTCTTTTTGAATGCATCCTTTATTATTCATAAATAAACCGTCATTTTGGTTCCTTGAGTATTACTTTCTTGAATTGTCTTCAAAAGAAAGAAATTATACTAGTGGTTCCTAAAGTGTGAATATCCATTGCTGTAGTCCTGAAATCATATGTTTCACTAACATTCAGCACTGTTTTGAAGGATTTTACTTGAGGATTAAGGGATGGCTCATAATATTTTCTTACTTTGAAAACTATTCTGGAGATAATAATACTTTAATTATGAAATTGATGGTTTGTTTCTTTATTATTGGTTTAACAAATGTGA